AGGTGCTCTTTAGCTCACAGCTTGTACAATACTTTTGCTCCTGTCTATGGGTCTTGACTGGGTTCATTTTCTCTGCCAGTTAAAGAATTAAAAGGCAGGAAGTCTCTTGAGCCCAACAGGTAGCAGAAGAGAGAGCTGGAACCCAGAAGACAGGAGCAGATGTAATCAGCAGTTGAAGGAAGGCTTTTATGTGGGTGAAGAAACTCATATATACAGTAGGCACACACATACACACACACACACACACACACACACACACACCCCTCTTCAAAGCAGAGGAAGGACAGGGACTTGGGAAGCTGAAATTCAGTCTTTTCTCAAGGGCAGGGGATTTTTAAGTCTCTGAAGCGTCTTCTTCCCCTAATTTAGGGCTTGTCAGTTTGAAGAAAGATAGGATGGCTGGTTGGCCTGCAATTGTTGTGTAGGCTTGTCTTGAGTAGGCCTTGAACTTGTGCCAGGTCATCAGTTGGAGACCTACTAGTAGGAGGAAAAACAAACAAACAAACCATAAAGCCTTTGCTTTAAATTCCAGGCTTTTGCCTCAAGTAGGGAGGTTAAGGAAGAAGCTGACCACCTTGGAAGTTTATCTTTGATTTCTAGCCACAGCTCCTCTCCCTCTCTAACTGCCTACTAGGGATTCTGTCTAACTACTGTCAAGACTCAAAAACACCATTCTGAGATTTTCTGGAGAATGAATACCTAGAAGTGATGAGGCAGGAGTTCCACAGCAGGCAGTCAAAGGTAGGTGAGGGGTAAATAGGCTAGCTCACTGGGGTCAGGACATAGCACTCTCTGAGGAATGTTCCTTTGGTGGTGCCTAGGAATCATCCAGAGAACATTAAGAAAAAACTGCCCATCCATGAGGGCCTTTACAAAGCATCCCTCAATTTGAAGTGTGTTTCAGCAACCCTGGGAATTTACCTTGACAAAAGCTCCCAGTATCTGAGAACATTGATGATTTTACTGTAACTAGTATGACAAGGAAGTTTAAGGACCAGTATTTTTACCTTCTTTGCCTTGTGGAATGGCTCTGTAAGATCAGAAAGAGAGGGAGAAGTCACATTGGGTCCTGTGAGTCTGAGCCAAGAAAAAACTTTAATCATCTCAGAGGAACTAACCTGAGTAATTCCTGACGTCACTCACCTCTCAGAGTGACCAGCCTGGGTCTGCGCCACTGTGCTTTGCTCATTCTCTGGCAGACAGAGAGAAATCTAAAAATATTCTCCAGAAGGGACTTCTGTTAGTTTGATGGTGACATCTTTATTTCTCTGGGCGTGGGGAGAGGCCTGTGACGAACAATAAGAATCAGCGGAAGTAGAGTGCACCTTTTACCAGTGGGCTAGTCTTTTCACCTAAGACTACAATATGAAGAGAAAAACATTGTGAAGATGTATGCCCTTGCTGTAAATCCCGTGCAGTGAGGGAAGACATGAAAAGAAAAAAGAAAAAGAAAAAAGCTCAGGACTTGAAGCAGTGGCCTCTTTGTTGGCAGTTACACAGTGGAGAGTAATTGCAGGCCTGGGGATGGGGTGGGGGTGGGGGATGGGCCGAGGGTGCACAGTTAAGACTCTAGGTTTGTCTCAAGTCTCCTGGGTCCTAGAAATGACTGAAGGGTTACCATAACAAGTGGGGGACTCCTGCTCCCTTTTGTTTACTTTGGGGCTTACTCCTTATAATGACCTCCACCCTGCTGCTCCACACAAGAAGTTGGAGGACTTCTCTTAAACAGTGATAAAGAAACCCCCGAACAGAGCACTTCCAACAACTGGGAGTTTAAGGTTTTACCCCATAACACGTCAAAGTCGCCATCTGGTAACTCTAAATGGAAGTCCATGTACGAACAATTCTCCTTCCCTCACAGTTTAGGACTTCACTGTCCCCTCTTACATATGAGTCAGCAGAGAAGAGGGACTAGAAATGCAGGGATCACCCCTAACAAAGAAAGAACAAACAATCTATTTTCCTTACTGTCAGAGAGCCAGGGCAAGCTGAACCTGTGTTGTTTGTTTTATTTGGGGTTTTGGGGGATGGGTAGGTTTTTGTAAGCCTATAAAAAGGAATATTAAGAGATGAATTCAGGCTCTTGAAAATCAAAACTATGATTAAAATAATTTAAAAACCTGAAATACCCTCCAAAGTTAGGAGAGACAAGCAGGAAGGCAGATGGACAGACAGACAGACAGACACAAACACACACACACACACAGAGAGAGAGAGAGAGAGAGAGAGAGAGAGAGAGAGAATTATTAAAGAAAATGTCCTACTGAAGGGCAGAAACTTCAGATTGCATGTATTTCCTGAGTATTCAGACAATAAATGAAAACAGAGCTCACCAAGGCACCCCATAATGACACTTAGCGCACCAGTTGAGGAGAGGGTCTGGAGGTCATTGATCCTGTGACAGCAACAAAAGGGAAATAGAAACAGATTAGGCCTAGAAGATAGTAGAGAATAGTTTTTAGATGAGCAGTGAAAATGATTGCTGTTCTAGAATTCTTCCCCAAGAGCCACTGGTAATCCATAGTAGTGAACAAGCTCCATCAAAGTGAAGGTGTAAATTGATGAAGGGCAGATAGGATCCAAAGAAAAGATATAAACAAGGCAGGGAAAGAACTGGGCAAATGGGAAGAGGGACAGGCCAAGTCAGTGCAACCAGACTAGACTGTCTGGCAGTATATTGATGTGGTGTCAATAATGCATTTCTCAAACACCCATTTGACACAGGGATTATTGCTAGGGTAGGATTGTTTTATTTGGGAAATTGAGGGTATATAGACAGGAGTTTTTCTTGTATTCACTATGAATTCCTGTATCTAAGACAATGCCCTGTATATTGTAGGTCCTTAACAAATGTACATTGACTGAAGGAAACCTGATATGCATTACTAGTTCAGATACTAGGTAAGATACTGGTTATTCTTCCTGTTGCCATGACAAAAAGCAACTTAAGAGAGGAGGTTTGTTCTGGCTTGGATTTTGATGGGAGTTCTCCATCATGGAGAGGCAGGCATGGCGGCTTCAGGCAGCTAGTCACATAGCATCCAGTCAGGAAGCAGAGAGAGGTGGACGTTCTTTGTGTGCTGTGCTGGCTTTCTGCTCTCTTTGAGGACTGGAGAACCAGCTTTGAAATGGTGCAACCACATTGGAGGTGGGCTTTTTCTCTCCAACTACCCTGATCTAGAAAAATCCCTCACAGACATGTCGAGGCATTTTATTTCATGGTGATTCTAAATGCCATCAAGTTGACAGCAGAGACTAACCATCACAAATACACTTCCAAAACTTCTGAAGCCAGGCGGCACAAACTCGTATCTCACTAAGAATTCAAAAGAGGCTTTTGCAAAGGTTAAAACTAATTGCGAAATATTTAAGTGGAGCATCAAAATATGGAAGAGTTTTTTTTTTTTTTTAAGCCAGATATTGTTCCTAGGAAGGTATTCTTTATGCTAGTTAGGTTGGTGGGAGACAGCTTGAAGCTTGAGCTGGTTCCAGGGAAATCAAGATGCAATTTCCTCCATTTAGAAAGCTAATTACCTTATTGACTTTTCTTCTTGTTCATTCACTAATATAATTCCAAGCTGGGTTGAGAGAAAATGCCTTGTTTTGCTTTTCAAGCTGGTGGACTCTGGCATTCCATTCCGGAAAGTTTCACCAGTACACCCATTCCTCTGATTAAATGAAAAGTGGCCGTCTTTGGATCCGGAATGTGTGCTTCCCCATAATGTCTCTAAATTGGGTCTATGGCCCAGTTTAATTTGGCTGTGAATTCATTATCTGATTTTAGGCTAATAACCTCTAGAAGTGTTCGCTGTTTCACTCTTTCTAACCTCACCAGTTTGTTCTGTATATACTATACACCATTGACTGGGTAAGGAAAGGAAAGAAAAAACCAGGTCAAATAATTCTAAGTGCATAGAGGTAAAATAACAAGTCCTGTGGATCCCCCAAGAAGATAACCAGCTTGCTGAACAGGTTTTAATTATTTTTGTTGGCAGTCAGGGATGTTGGATGCCTTTACAGAAACTACGGCATACATAGTCCACCCTAGTTAGTCAGTGCCAGGCTGGGGCTGTGCTGAACATGTGAGTAGCCGAGGACTGCACTTCCGCCTGCCCTCTGTCTGTCTTAGGACTTCTCAAGAGTCCTGGTGTGGCAGACCCTGCTTTTGGATATTTGTGGCCTCCCAGTGTCTAATCTCAACTGTTCTATCTTCCTGAAAGAAAGATTTTGGGGGGCTTATCAGGAGACCAATCTGGATTCCTGATATATCCCTCTTTTTTCCTGCTTCCTTATGTTAGTGATGACTGGGCCAGGCTGGAGAGCTGGGGCTGGGGGTTTTTTCATCCAGTCTCTCCCTTCAATGATGGCCAAGTGCCTGTGGAGCATGATGTGGCCTCTGGAATTACTGTACCACAGCTTTGTCAGACCCCAAAGACAATGACAGTAGTATGGGAACCAGTGGTGCAGGATGCTCCCACCTCAGTCACCTCTCCACCTCTCCACAGCCACTCTCGGGGCCCAAAACCCAGAAGAGGGACACAGATGTCACCCTATTCTTTGCAGGACTTTTGGAGAGAAGGTCATCAAATGAGGGCCACACCCGTTATTCTCTCTCCATCCAGAAGCAAATTCAGCCATCTGGACGCAGAAGAAGAAAATCCTTGAGAGAGCATTGGTGGGATGCCCTGCATGGCATTCGTTACAGTGACATCCTTTTGCCCCTGCTGGGGGCAACTTTGCTCTGTATCTAGGTTCACCACTGTGTTCCTCTGGGAGCTGCCTTCCATTCATCCTTCCTCACTGCATTGCTCACGAGGATTGGAGGCTGGGGTGGGGTGGGGGGAGTTTCCCAGTCTGGGCTTTTTCCTGAGGGAGGGTGGTGTCACCGGTCCTTGTTCCACCAACTAGGGCATGAGACAGAGATGACTCAGAGCACCTGGGCAAACCGTACCCTGAGTTCCTTTCTGATTGCCGGAAACTGAGCACCAGGCATGGCCCTCCGCCCTCCGAAAGCCTCAGGCATAGTTCTTCCCACACGCTGTAATCCCCAGCACTTAGTTGGGCACCAGGGGAGTCCTTGGGCAGCAATCGAGCAATGGAGGGGGAACACCTAAGCTTTGGGGGTGAGTGCCAGTTCACTTTCGAGTAACTTCGGGGCCCAGAGGTATCTTCTCCCCACACCTGGGAACAGGGAGAATGTGCAAATGTGAACTCACAAAACAGCCTGGGGAACCGGAGACAGACGCTGGGTCCCTTTGCTTGGGCGTGCATTTGTTGATGTGCATGGTCGAGGCAGAGTGGCCACGCGTCTGTTCCGGTGTGGACGCAATTCATGCCTGTTTCTGAGAGCAGAAACAAGAGGTTGTTTTTGGCCAGAGCTCAGCTGATTTGTGTTAGTGCGAGCGGATGCACAGCTTCCTCCTGAAGCATTCCTCGTGGCTGTGTGAATGTCAAAGGCACCTGCGGTTCTGAAGCTTGAACTTAGGGATGCTTTCACCCGCAGCTAAGCGAGTGCGAAAGACCCTCTCTGGCCCCTGGGCTGTCACGCCTGCTCGGGTGGTGGTGTAGGATCCGGGTTCAGCCCTCAAGCTACGCAGAGTTCGGCGGTGGAGATGAGGGGGAGGAGAAGGGAGCGGAGACCCAGGCAGTGGTAGCTCCCGCCCAGCGGCTCTGCAAACCCTCCAGGGGCGCAGGGAAGTGCGGGAACCTAAACTGCGCAGCGTGGGATGGGATCCCGGATTCTGTTAGCGGATGCAAAAACCACAGTGCAGGATTTGGACGGTCTGGTGCGGGAGGAGAACGTTCAGTCACCTGTGCAGTCTGTTCGCCTGCTCCCCAATAGTCTCCAGGTGAGCGATGCCAAGGACTGCTAGAGTGCCGGTTGGGAGGCAGACATGCTAGAAGTACCCTAATGGATCCTTCTGGTGACACTCATCTTCCTGGCTGTATCTAGTGAAATCCTCTTAGAACCCAGGACTGCTCACCCTGCCTGAGAGCCCGGCCATGAGGTATAGGCACCCATTGGAATGGGCAGCAAAAGGTTGTAGGCTCTAGGCCAGACATTAAAGAGGTTGTGACGCCAAACTCTCCCTGGTTTGCTCACACGTTCTGGACGAATCCACCCTGGCTGTTTCCTTACCCCGCCCCCACCCCCATCCTCAGCAATGACCTCAAAGACAAGAGAGTGGACAGCTGCTTCGCTCCTGCAGGAGTATAGATCGCTTCAGCTATAAAAACTGTGAAAGCTCGGTCAGAGCTCTGATTGGTGGAGAGATCTACTGCGGACGCCCCCCCTCCCCCCAGATCAGACAATAAGAGACCAGAGCTCCTGGGGACAAGGCGTCTACAGCCCGGTGTGTTCTTCTCGAGTAGACACTTCGCTGTCGGCCGTGCCGCGCTCGGGTTACCAGGTGAGAGACTAACTTCTCAACTCATTCAGCTCACTCTCCATTAGTTTGTCTCCTTTTTATTTTATTTTTTATTTTTGATACGTTTCACACTGTAGTCCAGGTCGGTCTGGAACTAACTATACAGCTCAGATTGGTCCTGAGGATGTAGATCACAGCCGCAAAGCCACCACACCCAGCTCTACTTGGTTCCCTTTGCTGGCCAGGTTCTTCATCATTCTCCATCCATTTCCACCTTCCTTCCGCCGGTGCTCTAGTCAGGAAGTGGGGTCCTGACGTTTTCTCTTAACTAGCGTGAGTGCGACCATAGAGCACACCTTTATGGCTACAGGGCAGTGTTGGAAGCTGGGGACCCCCACTTTGGGGTGTCGTGGCTCCTCTTTGGGGGCAGGTGGTCTGGCTGCACTCTAACCAGTTTTGAGATGGGAGTTTCTTGGTTCCGAAGTTGGGGAGCGCCTGTCTGTTCTCCTAGCTGTTTCCAGCTTTTAAGATCCCGGGGTCATCAGCAAGCATCTGGTCACCAGCATACACACGGGAGGGGAGGGGTCCAGCACCAGCTGCTAAACTGCACTTCTGCCATTCTGAGTCAGTTAACCTGGGACTCAAAAAAAAAAAAAAAATCTCCCAACTCTGCAGATGGAGAAAGAGGTTAGTTCCACGCCACTTTTCCAGCCGCCCCAGAGCAACCGTTCAGAAAAGGTCCTGAAAATTTCAGCCTGGGAGAAGTCCAGAGCAGGGAGACAGCAAGACCACTTCAGAGAACTGTGTGGTTCTTGTTTTCTTTACAGATGAAAGCAAAAGGGCACGCCGCCGGGCAGGTGTGAGCTGCTTCAGGCTGAGTGCCTGTAGCTCCTCCCACTTGTGGTTAGAACAAGCTAACCACATCTACCCTCCCCCACCTGTTTCCGCTCTATCCAGCCACTCGCTACACTGTGTCTTGAGGTCCCCAATAGTCCTCTGGCAAACAAAGGAACAGTGGTAGAGGAGGTGAAGGAAAAGTTAGCAGGGGCAGGACTAGAACCATAGTCTACAGTCCCTGTGCATTTGGACCACTCTTCTCTTTTTACAGAGACACCATGGGCTTCTGGAAGTTCTTTCCCTGTCTGGCTCTCAGCAGCATATGGGTCCTGTGCCTGGTCAGCAGCCTCCAGGCGTCACCTTTCAGGTAAATTAGCCTGAATCAGGAATGCAGCTTGGCACCTCTCCTGCTGCCCCTGGGGTGGGTCAACTCTGTGGCTCTGTAGCCCCCACATAGTTATTGGTAAATCAGCGCCCTCATGTGGGCACTGGCCTCACGACCTGACCACAAAGCCCCTAGGCAAAAAGCAGGGTCTGGGAAGCTTGGCCGCTTATCTGGGGGGGAGAAAGGCAGAGACTCAGAATCTGCGCTGGGTTTGCTATACCTCCACAGGTCAGCTCTGGAGAGCAGCCTAGACCTGGCTACCCTCAGCAAAGAGGAAAAACACCTGCTGGCCACACTGCTGCAGAACTATGAGCAGATGAAGGCCAGAAAGCTGGTACAGAAGGAGCAGGAGGCTGAGGGCTCCAGGTAAGGCCCCGCCTCTCCTGGCCCCATATATTCAAGAGGACCTATTCCAGAGAGGTAGAGAGACACTGGCCAGCAGTGCGAGGGGCTGAGCTAACTGTCCCAGTCTCCAGACAGACGTTCCAGTGCCACCAGAGAGACTCAAACTGGTTACACACATTAAAATGTTTTCTTCTGAAAATTCTTGGGAAAGGAAGTGAGCTGTAGACTCACTTACTGTGGGACTTGGACTTGTGCTGATGGTGCCACATCGCTGCACTGGCTGACGTAGGACAGGTAAGCGTGATGCCAGAGGATGGGCTAGAGTATCAGGAAGTTTTCACAGCCTTCAGCATTTATTGTTCTTTCAGCTGGCAAGGGGCCATCATTTCACACTTGCAAGGGGGAGGTTGTAAGGGTGGGAGGGGCCTGAGACAGGTAGAACAGTGTCTGAAGTAGGTCTGGAGCATCTGTAGAGGGTACCTGTTGTTACAGGGTCAGCTGCCTGTGTGCCCCCAGCCTGGAAACAGACCAGCCCTGGCCTGGCTCCAGCACTACCCAAGGAAAAGCATGTAACCTGCATCCACCCTGAGAAACGCCCTGCCAAGCGTGAAAGATTGAACAGCACACGGAATGGCAGGGTTACCCCTTCCCCAGCCCTTCCCCATGCTGCCCTGGCCTACTGCAACTCCAAGCCTTCCCAATAGAGTTTCTAGTCCCCCCGCCGGGTTTAACCTGCTGACTGTCTGGCATGACTTTTCCCTGCAGTCTGGGAATCTAAATACATGAGTTCTGGGCATGAAGGTGCAGGATCTGAACAACTTTCCTGCCTTGTCTGGCATGGATTTCAGGCCTGAAACACCGACAAGAAGAGAACTCAGCAGGTTGCCCATTGCTTTCAGCTTGAGTGGTCCCGGGGTGCCACCCCAGCTCTTCCGAGTCCTTCCTTTTTCCTCTGTTTTTCCTATCTTTGAAGCTGTTGCATGTGCACCCCTCCCTGATTGTTCCACAAGCTGGCAATAGCAGGGTTAGAGTGACTGAGGATGTCAGTGACTAGGGAGAGAACCAAAGTCATAGATCACAGTTGAGGTAAGAGACAGTGAGAGAACCTTCTGGAGCCCTTAGGTTCATCTCCTGCCCTGAACAGTGAAATAAGCATACCCCTCACATCTCACTTAATTTTTTTTTTTAGTAGAATCAGAGTTGTAGGGATCATTGCTTCAGGCAACATGTGAAACTTGTAAGTGGCCAGGGCCTAGGAAATAGCCTTAGCTTCAGGGGAGCTAGGCACGGGGCATGATGGGCACCTCTGTGATGCAGCTACCGCAACAAGCGGCAGGCAGGTACTTCTGAGACGAAGCTGCAGATCCTGCTCTTAGCCTCAAAAAGGTAAGATGGATTTTTTTTTTTAATTTGGTGATGGTTTGGGGAAGAGTTTCTGGCAAAGACTCTGGTCACTTCCCTGAAAAGCTTTGATAAATGCACTTAGGAGAAGCACTTACTGCTAGGTGGCGTGTTGGAGGGATGAGGTGCTCCCTCTGGACTTCCCGGAGGGGTGGGAACACCCCAGCCTTCACTGACGAGACTTCTCCCCTTCCCTCCTGAATCTCAGCAACACTGCCCAGAAGAGATCTTGCAACACTGCCACCTGTGTGACCCATCGGCTGGCAGGCTTGCTGAGCAGATCGGGAGGTGTGGTGAAGGAGAACTTCGTGCCCACCGATGTGGGATCCAAAGCCTTTGGCCGGCGCCGCAGGGACCTTCAGGCCTGAGTAACCAATGGTCCCAGGAAGAAGGGATCGGGGAAGGGAGGATTTGGGAGCTAAGATTCACATTAGGAAGCCCACTGGCAGTGGTATGGCCTTCAGGTCCTTTATCTTTAATACTAGACTTCTTCCTGAGATAGTGAGTCCCTTCTCGAACTGAATTTGAAAAATATAATCGAAATGGCAGGAAAGACTGCAAAGAAGCAGTGCCTTGTTTCTGAGAATAACATGGAAAAGAAATGCTATATGGATTTGGAAAGTGAGGGGCCTGCAAACCTTACCCAGTGCCATGCCCCGCAAATGAGCCCAGCTTTTGCAGGGCTCTGCTCTTGGTCGACGCTCCACAGCGCAGATCAAAAGGCTATGAGCGCATTACTAACAGTACCTTTTGTATCTTTTCTGTTTTTGAGTCAGCCTCAAGGAGCCCAGGCTAGTTTCCAGCTCAGTATGTAGAGGCTGGCTTTGAATTCTGACTCCCCCCGCCCCACCCCCAACTTCCAAGTGCTGAAGTGGCAGGGTCTCCAGGACCTATCAGCACTTCCCATACTAATAGGGTCAGTGTTATAAGCCTCCTCACCCTCCATATTCAGAATTCAGGGATGCTGCACTGTTATCCATGACTGTGCTTACTTACATGTGTGTATCCTTCTTCTTTCCCTTACTTTTATTCCTTTCCTCTCACCCACCCTCTTCTTTTGTCTTTTTTCCTTCTCCCTTTCTCTTCTTGTTTCTCTTCACCTCAGGTTACATAGAGCTGAACTCACCACACCTATTAATGTTTATTAAAAACAACCTGGTGAGAAGACCCCGTGGACAATGCATACGCTTGCATCCTAACAGATTCCTGAGAAAAGCACCGTTGTTTCTTGAGAGCAAAGAAACCGGGTATAAATGAGTTAATTCTGTGTTTGTTTGTATCAGTCTTATACTGAGTCTGTGGCTAGTCAATGTGATGGCGTCTCCCACTGGCTTTCCTAGCAGCAAACCACAGAGGTTCCCCAAGAGCCATCTAGCTGATGGTGGCAGCCTTGTTGAACCTTAGGGAGATGTCAAATCACTGCCTCTTACAGCCACTGGGAACTCATGGTAGAGGAAGTGCTATGCCTTGATGTCTCAGAACATGATTGTATATTTATTTAAGGAAATGTCAAAATTGTACCATTTGTGAACTTCATCAAGATTAAAACATATTTTGGATACATTTGTTTTGAAGTTGGTGGTGGTCCAGTTCAACTTTTCTTCCTATGTAATAGTAGTAATAGTAATAATAATAATAATAATAATAATAATAATAATAATAATAAACACTCTTGAGTGTTTAGTATTATTCAGTGTTCTAAAAAATTGTTACACACCTATGATGAATTGACTTAATCATCAAGGCCAAGTCATAAGAAGATACTCACATTTGAGGAGAAAAAGGCAAGGAGAGGTGAGACTTAGGGTCACATTAATAAACTGTGGTAGATCTGTGATGGTTTCCAAGCACACAGTACAAGCCACCAAATCTGATGTTTTTCACAATGGCCTCTGACATTTTCCAGGGACCCATTCTTTGGCCTTCCTGCCTGACATGGTAGACCCTTACATTTTGAAGATACATAAAGAAATTCTTAAGCATCTAATGTGCTAATATAGTATAATGAAGTCTTTTGTGCCCCTTACTTGGTTTCAAGGAAAACCAGTAGCAGCGTTGCTACTCTACAGCCTATCTCTTCTTCCACTCAGAGTATTGCTGGATCAGCACATCTGTAAGGATTTACCATGCATTTCTAAGTGGAAAGATGTTGAACATAACCAAGTCCTATTTTAAAAAAAAAAGATTTATTTGTTATTTATACAACATTCTGCCTGCACACCAGATCTTACTATAGATGGTTGTGAGTCACCATGTGGTTCCTGGGAATGGAGCTCAGGCCCTTTGGAAGAACAGCGAGTGTTCTTAACCTCTGAGCCATCTCTCCAGCCCCCATCCAAGTCCTATTTAACAAGGAAAATGAGTACATTCATTATTTCTTAATTCTTTACTCTGACACATGCAGTAATGGTTTAACCTTCCCCGGTGTTTATATATCCACATATAAAATCCTGGCTGATATTGACTATTGCTTCTGGTTCATACCTTAAGGCCCATTTGAGGTAGAGGTTCTTCTCTATCTGTTTACCTCTTGCAGCTCATTGGCAAGAGAGACTAGGTTATATGTGCAATAGTTTCCTCCATTGCTGTGGTGAGGTTGACCTGCAGTTTCTGTGAGTTGGCAGGTAGGCCTAGAGTGATGTGGAGGAAGCTGATGAGCCCAGGGATGAAGGTGACAGATAATATTTTCTGCTTTCATATATTACATCCAGACAGCAGTTTCCTTTTCCTCCTCTTCTTCCAGTCCTCCCACACTTCCCCTCTGTCCCAAACCCTATCCACTCCCCCTCTATTTCCTTCATAAAAGAACAGGCCTCCCAGAAATAGCAACCAAACAATGCTATAACAGTAGACGCATACATCAAATCAATGAGGTAACCCAGTAAGAGGAAACTATAAATATAATATACTTTTATGTAAGGTCCATAAAAGACTTTGGATTTCTATCAGGTAAGTTCTAGTTGACAGAGCAAATTACATGTCATTTTAACTGGAAATATTTAATGTAACAGTGGCACAAATAGGTATTAGAGTACTGAAAACTCCAAAGAGAATATAAAGTACAGAGGTCACCATCTATAGGCTAGAGGAAGGAGAGCTGAGAAACCTGAAGAAGAATTCGTAGACCACTGAGAAGGAAACTTGGCAGACTCAAGCCTGTCTTGGCTGTATGCTGAGGTGATGGTGATGCAAGGCTGTTCTAAGAGTACAAATGCGGGCATTCTTTGGGTAAGCAGGGGATGAGGTGCATCTGGAATGTTCTGGGGACTCAGAAAAACCAAGCCAAGCTAGAATTAGAAACAACTTCATTGCCAGAGTAAGTCAGTACATTAGTGATGCACACAGAAACAGAAATTTAGATTGGGTTTGGCTTCTGAGTTCTTTTAGGAACTCCAACTGAGAGAGTCTAAAGGGGTCTAGTTGGCAAGGGAAAATGATTCTGGCAGAGTGCCAGCCTCAGGATCTCATTTCAGATGTGTAATTTTATATTTACATATCGAAAAGTTCATTCATTTTGGTGTATAGTTCTGGGAGCCATGGAGCTGGCACGAGGAGGGCATAAAGGAATTATATCACTCGCCAAATCCTCCTGCTTCCCTTTGTGTTCAGTTGCTCCCTCAACCACAGTCTCTGCTACCCTGTCTCTATGGATGTGACTCCTCCAGAATGTCAAGTCTTGAGTCTGGCTTCTTTTACTTCCCAGAATGCATTTGAGATTTTTCCATGTCATGACACTAGTTTGATTTTTGAACTACCAAGCAGTAAAACATTGTAGAGATCACCCCCAACCCACTTATGTTTTCCCCTTGAATGACACTTGGGATGGTTCTAGCTTTTAACACTTGTGAGTAGAGGTATGGCAAACATTCATGGATAACATGATGACAATGTGGGTTCAATGAGGATCCTGCATAGACATGCCTGCATTTTTTTTTTTAGAAAACAGTGTTTGCAGATGTAGTCAAGGATCCTCAAATAAGATTATTTTGGATTGTTCAGGAACGCTCTAAATTCTTTGTGTCCTCAGAAGTGGAGAAAACACACAGAGATGTTGATGTGAAGGAAGATGCAGAGGGGAACAAGCAAAGGTGGTGAAGGAAGCACAAGAGCCAGGAACTACTCTCCTAGAAGTGTAGACCTTCCTGGTACCTGCATCTTTGGACCTTTGGCTCTTAGAACTGAAAGAGAACAAATTGCTGTTGGGCTTTTTTGTTTGTTTGTTTGTTTGTTTGTTTATCATTTTTGTTGGAGTGTTTCTTCAAACACTAAAATTTTAGTTGATGACTTGCTTTAACTGTTGTTGAGCTTTGAAAGTACTTTATATGTTACAGATGCTGAATTTTTGGGTTAGGAAACACATTATCCCAGCTGGGAAGGATAATATTTTCAGCTTCCACTGTGAGAAGCAAACTTTCTCTTCTATGAGAACACAACCGCGGCTTTCTAAATTCCTTCTAGCATGCTAGTGGGAAAAAGGTTAATGTTCAATGTATTTGCTTCTTTCCCAACAGGATGCTATCCCTAGACTTACATAAAACTGAGGGACTGCCAAGGGGCTGAAGTGACCCATGGCTCTGAAAGAGCTATGCTGAGTACTTGATGTGAGCATCACTGGAATTTGAATGGGAATAATTTGAGATCAGAATAAACCCAGAAAGATCTAATGAGTCTTGTTTTTAATTAATTAATTCAATCTGCTTTCATATATTACATCCAGACAGCAGTTTCCTTTTCCTCCTCTTCTTCCAGTCCTCCCACACTTCCCCTCTGTCCCAAACCCTATCCACTCCCCCTCTATTTCCTTCATAAAAGAACAGGCCTCCCAGAAATAGCAACCAAACAATGCTATAACAGTAGACGCATACATCAAATCAATGAGGTAACTCAGTAAGAGGAAACTATAAATATAATATACTGAGAGACCTTGAATAAAAAAAAGAGTCAGAGACATCCCCTGCTCCCACTGTTAGGAGTCCCTCAAGAATACCAAGATACACAACCAAAACATATATGTAGAGGATCTAGGTCAGACCCAAACAGGCTCCTTGATTTCAGTTCAGCCTCTGTGAGCCCTTAAGAGGGCTGCTTAGTTGATTCTGTGGGCCATGTTCTTGTAGTGTTCTTGGCCCCTCTGGCTCCTACAATCTTTCCTCCCCCTCTCTCATGGGGTTCCTTAAGTGCCACCTAATATTTGGCTGTGGGTCTCTGCATCTGCTCCCATCAGTTCCTGAATCATGCCTCTCTGATGACAATTATGCTAGGTTCCAGTCTGAAAGCATAGCAGAATCTCATTAGGAATCGTTTAATTGACTTCAGCTTTTTCATCTGTGTTGGTGCTATCCTAGGTCTCTGGGCCATGTTGCCCCTTGCTCCTGGCCAACCAGGCAGTGTCAGGCATTGGACCCCTCTCCTGGCAGCAGTCTCAAGTTGGACCAGTTATTTGTTGGGCACTCCTACAAGTTCTGCACCACCTTTATCCCAGCACATCCTTCAGGAGAGACAAATTGTGTATCAAAGGTTTTGTGGACGGTCTGGTGCCCCAGTTTCTCCACTGGAAGCCTGGCTTGGCTACAGAAGATGGCTGGTTCAGGCTCTGTATCCCCCTTACCAGAAGTCTTCACTAGTGTCACCCTTGTAGATTCCAGGGATTTCCATTGCACTAGGTTTTTACCTTTCCCCCAAAATGTCCCACTGTTCCAGTCATCAATCCGAGTACCCACCACCACCATACTGGATCCCTCCTGTTCTCTTCAACTCCAGTGTAAGGTAGATATCTGATAGGTCTATTTGGTTCACTGTTAGGATCAAAGAAATGATGATGTACACAGATTTTATATGAAAGAGGTTTATTGGATGGGGATGAAGAGAGAGAGAAGAATATCATGAGACATGATAGGGGGAAGGGAGGGGAGAGCAGGAGAGCAAGAGAGTACGAGAGCAAGAGGGCAAGAGAGCGACAAAGTGGTAGGTTGATCCTTTTAAGGAGCAACTGAACCACGCCTGCTATGTGTGGCTACCTGGGGTAGACACATGATGACATCATAGGTTGCTAGGCAACCCAGAAGCAGGCTGTGTAAATACTAACATTCACAACATCAGTTAGCACCGTTATTTCTCTGTTTAGTTTTTGTCTGGGTGACCCATCCATTGGTGAGAGTGGGGTATTGAAGTTTCCCAGTATTAATGTGTGAGGTTAGGTGTGTGATATAAGTTTTTATAAACATGGGTGCCCTTGTGTTTGGGGCATAGATGTTAAGAACTGAAAAGTCATCTTGGTGTATGCTTCCTTTGATGGGTATGAAGTGTCCTTTCCTATCTCTTTTGATTAATTTTGGTTTGAAGTTTATTTTGTTAGATATTAGAATGGATATACCAGCTTGCTTCTTGGGTCCATTTGCTTGAAAAATCTTTTTCCAACTCTTTACTCTGAGGTAATTCTATCTTTGATGTTGAGGTGTGTTTCTTGTATACAGCAGAAGGATGGATCCTGTTTCCACATCCATTCTGATAGCCCAAATTTTGTTATTGGG